GTGTCGTGTGTGTGTGTGTGTGTGTGTGTGTGTGTGTGTGTGTGTGTGTGTGTGTGTGTGTGTGCGTGTGTGTGTATGTGTGTGTGTGTGTGTGTGTGTGTGTGTGTGTGCGGGCGTGTGCGCGTACGCGGGCGAGTGCGTGCGTTTGCGCGCGCGCACCTTTGTGTGCGTGCGCACATCAGGAAGGAGAAGAACGAAGGGCGGACCATTATTCCTGCGATAATGTAAGCGGAAAGGCATGAAATCAATCTTAGTTGATACGTTGAAACAATTAAGGCTAATTCGCCTGTTCTAGTTGTCACCGTGAAACCGCTGCTTTATGGGTTAACGCGTTTGGACGGTACGTTACATTCCTCCAAGAATCTGGTTTTGTAGGTAACAGGGGCATGAACAACGGGCTTATTCACATCGGTTACCACCACCTCGTAACAAGCGTACAGTTTTGCATAATGGAACGTTCTCCCCACAGCCGGCTCTTCGTTTCGTATAACATACGGTCATAATAGTTGCATCGATATAACAGATTTAAGGGCGCGGCGTTATTACAAGATGCGCAATGGATAGAGGTATGATCAAAGATTCAAATGATGATCTTATCTAACAGACAATATATCGCACATGCTACAATGAAAAAGCATTTATAGCGTATTGTGGGATTTAGTGCATAGAACACGGCCCCGTTGTCAGATAACAAGATCTTAAAAACATAATCTAGCATTTAGAATTACTTTTAACGCTGACTATTTCTCCTAGACCGTCGACCGAATTTCGTTTCGCAGAAGTTACGAGGAAATTCGCAACGATTTGCTATTCTCGCAACTTTACGATGTTTCTGTCAACATCTGACATACAACAAGATTTATTTGGTTTTTGACAACTGGCCAAAAACACTCGGGCAACGTTGGAACAAGTCGGAAGTCGGAAGTCGTTCCACACTAGAACACCGTATAACCAGCCTGTTCTGCTTGCATCTATGACAAATACGACATACGCATAATATACGCTCTCCTATGACACTATTTGTCATAAGAAGATTCTTTCTATGACAAATATTGTTGTATGTGTTGTGCGCATCATAGGAGTTTAGGAGCGCTTTTATGAACGCAAACAGTGAATTTCAGCTGTAAAGCGGAATGAAGTTGACTCGCCAATATTTGTTATAGGAAGAATCTTCCTACGACAAATAGTGTCATAGGAGAGCGTATATGCGTATGTCGTATTTGTCATAGATGCAAGCAGAACATGTTGGTATAACGCACGGTGAGACTGCGCACGTATGGGGATAAAACAGATGCGGGGGGGGGGGGACAACAACACGCACGCAGTCACTGCTGGCAGAATCGTGCAGGGTAGCGTCGAGTCACGGTTGTCAAATTGTCATTCCTCACTAAATGTGATATGAACAATCGATTCATCGTTGTTGCGAAACCGCGACCTTGGAATTTTGCTTAACCGCAGCCGCCGCTATTATGCGCGCTATTATATCCTTATTACGCGTAGCAGACGCGTACAATATTGTCTTTATGACATATGGCACACGTGGTGACGTCATAGCAATAATGTCGGAAATTCGCGTTCTTTTAACGTCGGCAATCAATTATCGTTGCGTTGTTGATTAGAGCTTTCAGTCGACCGATGAGATTCGCAGGCGCGCATTGGGCGTAAATAATTGGGTCTGCCGTAGAAAGAAATGAACATTCCGACGTCGAATCTCGCGTGCTCGCGTTGACAAGACCTTGGTAGCATATACCATCGCTGTTCTGTTAAATACACACGCACGCACGCACGCACGCACGCGGATTCGCTGTGTAAATCATCATTAGAATGCATTACGCGTCGTCTACGAGCAACCTTCGTTGCTAACCCGTCTACACTAACGAACTATCAAACATTTATATTTTTCTTTTTTTCAAAAAAACGCCATTTAAAGCATTTTTCGCTCGGCGGAAAATGCCGAGCTAATAACGCCGTGGATGCTGAATTGGCTACCTAATTATAACCTAACTGGACCTAATGGAAGAGTTGCCGTTAATTAGTGCTGTTTGTTATAATAAGCTATCGCGATCACCATGGCGCGTCTGTTTAGTCAATGAGTTTAGATAAGGGTTCTTATGTCTGCGACTTATGCACGCGCGGCAAACAAGAGAACGACTGTATTCCTCCACGTGGCAAACAAGAGAACGACTGTATTCCTCCACGTGGCAAACAAGAGAACGACTGTATTCCTCCACGTCAGTCATGGCTGTCGATGGCAGTCGTTAGTGTCGGTACAGCTGCATAAAAATGCCACCAGGTCGCATCGCCGTCGCATGTTTAATTGGCTCCACAGTCGCTGTTTTGCAACGCAGTAATTGTTTTGTCTTCCTAAGAACATATACTCTATATATATATATATATATATATACAATATTATATGACCAGAATGTAACGGCGTATTTTATTAACTTTTTATTTATTTATTTATTTACTGGTTTATTTATAAACTAGAGATGCGAAGACATTGCGCTGGCGGGGCGAAGGTGGTGGTGGTGGTGCTGGTGGTTGTCGCTATCGTAAACATCGGTCACCATAAACATCAAGCGGTTACTCTGCATTAGCAACTATTCGTTATTATATTCTATTAGCACCTAACTCGCCCCCACAGACGCACACATCGTCGTACCTGAGTCGAAGATGTTCTTCTCGTATTCTTCCAGCGCTTCGACGAGCTGTCTAGCCCTGTCGATGGCCGCGTTCAGGTCAGCTCGGCTGATCTGTAGACCTCCGCTATACCCGACATCCGGTCCGAACTGCGCCAACACACATGGCAACAGCACTAACAAGCAAAACCTGCACGGAGATAAAGAGAAAGAGAGACGATAAAAAAAATGTGCGGTTGATATTATTATAAAAATATTATTATTAATTGATTATTAAATTAAACTTTAACATTTAAATTTTCACGTAATTAAAATTTTTTTCACGATGACTGGTGTGATTATCTGTGTAATAATTATGTTAGATCGTAATAAAGTAGGGGCGTAGTCTGAGGGAATTCATCCGGGGAGGCCAAATCTCGTGACTCGACCGAGTTAACTACGAAGGAAAAATAACATACGGGATGTTACACATGAGAATAATGTGAATTGGCAATTTATTTCTATTCTTTTCTCACAACTAAAAGGGTGGCGGTGTTTATACTCATTAGGATCATTATCTAATTTTGCCCTACATTCCACGGGGGTAATTACTCCATTGCTCTACCCTCCCTTGTAGGCTACGACCATGCCACATTTTTTTAGAGGGGATGCATAACTCAACACTTGTAATCCGAGTAAACGATCTGTGACAAGGACACACAGGCAATCTCGTTCATCCTCTCAACCCAGCAGGTAAAATTTAAGTATTTTAAAGAGAGGCATTGGTTTTTCTCCGTTACACAATAGAATAACACATCGCCACGATTCAATAGAATCAAAAGGTGATTATGGAAGGAGCCGTGAAGTCTACAGCAGAACGCGTGACGATGACACGAGGTGTAGTGACGTTTACGCTGAATTTAATTGTAGACCGATTACGTTGTTTTACTACGCCAAGAAGACAAACACGAAAGAGAGTGTCGGAGAATGCATCCATTATTAAACGTCTGCAGGAGCCGTGTGTGATTCAAAGTTGTACCACATATAGATAACCGTTGTTCACAACACTGTATATACACAGTACAAACATCACACTGTATTACACCCATTGGCCCAACAATGGCGGACGCATTTTACTTTTTTTAAACTAAATTGTCTGCATGGTCCGTATACGGCGAAGTTTGATATAACCCGACTATTGTAACAGCTAAACAATCGACCACGGCTCGATCGCTCGCATAATTAACGGATGATATCAAACACTCGTCCGATAGTGAGTGTCCTTCGCTTGACACGAAAACCCAATTATCGACGGCGGTGGCGACAATGCCTGCGTTTGACTACAGATGTAAATCTGCTCTCGTGGCAATCGGGGATGGATTGTTGCGTGTCAATAGCAGCATTCACTTGGGAGCACGCGTGGATCGTTCTGTACTGGGGGGTTGATATTTAGGTATGTGTGTCTGCGTGCGTGCGTTCGTTCGTTCGAGCGTGCGTGCGTTCGTGTGTGCGTGCGTGCGTTCGTGTGTGCGTGCGTGCGTGCGTACATGTGCGTGTGTATGCGTGTGCTTATGAGGAGAGGGTCACATAGAGCATATATGCGTGCGGTGCTGCATGCGCGCCGCGTAGGCCTAATCCTAGTTCCATTCAACTAAATTATAGTTCTTTCAGACTAATGATTCCGTCACAGCGAATCGGGTGAATCCAGCATGATCCGAACCCAATAGCGGACGCTCCGTCGATTTGTAAACGCAGCAAGATCATCGAATCAACCCGCGCATCTGCATAAATCGGGGCATAACTATCGCTATTAGACTGTAGAATTTTCAACCGAAACGCGACCACACACAATCTGCGACGTTAATGTGAGTGACAGCGGCAGCGGCAGACACACAGCACGGTCTACATGTTAAACACAGTCAACAGTCATGACATGACACGCTTACGGTAGGTTGAGCACGGGAGCATGGGTTAAACGACGCGCCACATCCTCCCACGACACGGAGATTACATACATGTTCTATATTACCTTCTGTATATAACTGTCCGTTATATACATGCTCATATATTACAACTTCTAATATTAATGCATTCACCATTTCTCCGCATCTCTCTTCCTCTTCTATCCTATACTCGTTTCCTTCTCTCACAATACTCTCTTTTTCGCATCTCCTACCATCATACCCCTCCTTCTCCTTCTACACCCTCTCCCTCTACTACTTCCTCGCCTTCCCTCTTCTCCTCTTCTTCGCTTCCTTGGCCTACCGTCTTATCCTCCTTCCTTTCTCCCTTCCTCGCATCATCGGCCTCCCGTCTTATCATCCTTCCTTTCCCCCTTCCTCCCCAAACTTCCCCCTCCTATTCTCTCCTTCCCCCTTCTCTTCAACTTCCCTCTCATTTCCTCTCTCGCGGAGAGAGAAGCGCGCTTGCGACTGTCCCGTCACGATCGGCAGCAATCGACCGTGCAATAAGGGCCATCGGCGGGAAACGCTCCGTTAGGAAGTGACGACGGCGGCGGCGGAGGCAGCGGCGGCGGAGGCGGCGGAGGCGGTGGAGGCTCATCCTTGACACGATTCAAAACCGGCGCGTCCTCGCCGCCCCCTTGCCAGCCCCCTCACCCGCCCCTCATCATCCGCCGCTGCAACAACCTGTCGTTGTTTGTGACCATTGCTATTATTTTCTTCTCGTCTGAACCGTTACAGCTGGAGAAATGCGTGTGGGTGTGGAAAAGGTGGGGGGAGGAAGATCGAAGAGGAGGAGGAGGAGGAGGATGAAGAGGAGGAAGAGGTGGAAGAGAAAGAGGAGGAGGAGGAGGAGGAGCGGGAAGAGAAGAAGGTGGAGGAACAGCAGGAAGTAGCAGGAGGAGAAGAATAGGAGGAGGAGGATGAGGAGGATGAGGAACATGAAAAGGCGGAGGAGGAAGATGAAAAAGAGGAGGAGGAGGAGGAGGAGGAGGAGGAGAAGCAGGAGCGGGAGGCGGAAGATGAGGATAGGAGAAGGTGGAGAAACAGTATTGCACTGCCGTATCCCACACAGCGAAGCAAGTATAACTTGATCTGCCATGATCACATGATCGGTCAACGGCGACCCCGTTGTCACCATATCGCGTTGTTGTCACCGCGTCGCGTTGTTGTTTCCGCGTCGCGTTGTGGTCACCGCGTCGCGTTGTGGTCACCGCGTCGCGTTGTTGTCGTCATGCGTGCGCAGGAAGAGTTGAGTTGAGTACGTGGTTTCTTAATTACGGCCCCGGGCGATAGACTCGCCCTCACGTACTCAGCGCCCGCGGCGCGAGGAAGCACTGATAAGCTGTTCTAAAGATGCGAGAAAAACAGGCGGCCAGAGAGAGAGAGAGAGAGAGAGAGAGAGAGAAAGAGAGAGTGAGGAAGAGTGGGAGAGTGATACAGAGAGAAAAATAGAGAAAAAAAAACGAGAGACTGAGTGAAAGAGAGCGGGAGGAAGAGAGATAAAAAAGAGGGAGTAGGCCTATGCAGAAAAGCTCTCTCTCTCTCTCTCTCTCTCTGCTCTCTCTCTCCTCCCGCTCTCTCCTCTCTCTCTCTCCCGCTCTCTTCTTCTCTCTCTTTCTCTCTCTCTCTCTCTGCTCTCTCTCTCTCCTCTCTTCTTCTCTCTTCTCGCTCTCTTCTTCTCGTCTCTCGCTCTCTCTCTCTCTCTCTTTTTTTCTCTTTCTCTCTCTCTCTTTCTTTCTCTATCTCTCTCTCTCTCTCTGTTTCTCTATCTCTATTTCTTTCTCCTTTCCTCTCTCTCTCTCTCTCACGCGCCATGTATCTATAGATAAGTGGGTAGCTACTAGGTGTGT